ATGATTGTAAGTAATATTCTTGCATTGATTAATGATTTCTGGTAGCCCATTCAAACTATATGGTGCTTGCCATTAGTTATATGCCAGATGACGTTTTATTTGACTTTGGGAGTAAATTATTCCTAGCAGTCTCTGAAATTTAGGTTCCAAAGAACCCTAGAGACGAATGATAATTATATGCCCAGTATTATAGGTTATTTAAAATAACCAAACCAAAACTTGTGTGTGCACAGCATGTAACAGTGGTTAGCACGTAGGGGGTTGTGTGTGCACCTATAGTCCCAGCTACTTGGGAGGCTGAGGTGGGAGGATCACTTGAGCCTGGGAGGTGGAGGTTGCAATGAGCCAAGATTGCACCACTGCACTCAAGCCTAGGCGACAGATTGACACCCAGTCTCAAAAAAAATTATCAGCTATACCTTTATTATTAATGAAAGAAGAAAAACAAGTTTAGAAAAAGTCCTTATAAGAGGGAGGAAGTTCTAGAATTAATGGTAACAGTTGCACAAATTATGAGTATAATAAAAACCACTGAATTGTATACATTAAAATGATGGAATTTATGTTATATAAGCTTCATCTCAATAAAAAAATTTTATTAGAAAACAAAGGCAGGAGAGTCAGAATGAAGGAGACATGTGGACAGAAGCAGAGCTGAGAGATGGAGAGAGATTGGAGGATGCCACACTACTAATCTGAAAGATGGAAGATGGGGCCTTGAGCCAAGGAATGAAGGCAGCCTTTAAAAACTGGAAAAGGCTAGTCCAAGTGTGGTTGTATTTACAACTAAATGATCACAACCAGTTACACATTGCTCTGTTGCCTCTCAACTCTCACTGCTTTACTTGGCTAGCCTAAAAAAAAAACTACTGAAAAAGAAGAGAAAACAGATTCTCCCTTAAATCCTCCAGAAAGAATGTGGCATCTTGGTTTTAGGACTTCTGACCTGAATTATAAGATAAAAAGTATGTTTTAAGCCAATTGAGTTTAGGGTAATTTATTACAGCTGCAACAGGAAACTAACACAGCCCACTGCATGCCAAGCACAGTTATGTGCTGTGCACATGCAGGTAGCATACCAAAAAGTTTTAGTTTGGTTATTTTAAATTGTAAGGTGAAATAACCTATAATACTGGGCATATAATTATCACTGAATTCCAAGGTTCTATGGAACCCAAAATTCAGAGATTGCTAGGAATAATTTACTCCCAAAGTCAAATAAAACTTCATCTGGCATATAACTAATGGCACACACTATGCCTGGCTAATTTTTTGTAGTTATACTAGAGACGGGGTTTCACCTGTTGCCCAGGTTGGTCTTGAATTCCTGGACTCAAGCCATCCACCTGCTTTGGCCTCTGACAGTGTTAGGATTACAGATGTGAACTACCGCAACCAGCCAGGCAACAAATAAAAATGCTATATATTTATAGTTTGTAATATAATGTTACATTGTGAAATGGTTAAATCAAGCTAATTCGTATATTCATTACTTCACATACCATTTTTGTTGTGAGAACATTTAAGATGTACTCTTAGCAGTTTTAAAGTATACAGTGCATTATTATTAACTGTAGTCACCATGCTGTACAATAGATAGACTGAAATTATTCATCCTAACTGAAACTTTGTACCCTTTGACCATCTCTCAGCCCCTGGCAACCACATCCTACTCTCTATTTCTGTGAGTTCAACTCTTACATTCCAGATGCAGTATTTGTCTATCTGTGCTGCGCCTGGCTTATTTAACTTACCATAGTGTCCTCCAGGATCATCCACGTTGTCGCAAATGACAGGATTTCCTCCTTTTTTAGGGGGGTGCTGAATAATATTTCCTTGTGCACACACCACATTTTCTACTAATAGCCACTGCTTATTGAGCATCCACTGTGCACTACGTCAGTTACTAGGAGCTTCAGATGCATTGTCATTTAGCTTTTCATGAGCTGAATTGTTCTTCCTGCCAGCATCCACTCACATAAAACTGTGAGGTTTAACCTCATACCTTGAGGAGATATGCGGTGCGGTAGGAGGCAGTGGCTTCTGGGTTGGTGTCCGTGGACTCTTAGTTTTTTCTGAATTGAGAGATTAAAGCTAGTATTCGTTATAAAGTTAAATAGATACCATATGACCCAGTATCTCCACTCCTAGGTATTTACAGACGAGAAATGAAAGCATATGTCCCCAAAGACTTGTACACAAATGTTCATAGCAGTATTATTCATAATACCCCCAAACTGGAAACACCTCAAATGCCCATCAACTGGTGAATGGATAAACAAATTCTAGTCGATCTGCATAATGGAATACTACTCAGTAATAAAAAGGAACAAACTACTGACATACTCAACAATGTTGGTGAAGCTCAAAAGCATTATGCTAGGTGAAAGAAACACCAAAAGTACGTGACAACGTGAATGTACTCAACACTATTGAAGTGCACACTCAAAATGATTCAGATGCTAAATATTGTGCCATGGATATTTTGCCACAATTTAATACAAAGCTGTATAATGTATGGTTGTGTTTACATGAGATTCTAGAGAAGGCAGAATTATAGTGGCAGCATATCTAATGGCCGTCAGAGGCCAGAGTTTAGGAAGGGTTTGACTATAGAAGGGCATGAGGGAACTTTTTGGGGTGATGGAAATATTCTACATCTTGATTGTAATGATGGTTATAGAATGTTTATATTTGTCCAAATTACTGAATTGAATACTTAAAATTAGTGAGTTTTATTATTTGTAAATCATAGTTTAATAAAGCTGATACAAAAAAGAAGAAAAAGTTGCTAGGAATTTGAGGGAGTTAAATTCTGTTTTCTGGTAAATTGTAAGAGGATTTTTCTCTGCTGTTTTATTTATAAAACTTCTTGTGTGCCAGATCACGAGTAATGAGGTAGAAGGGAATATATTGTCTTCTCATCCCTCACTAGGTTACATGAATATGTTTAGTAACTGCAAACAATATATAGTGCATTTAAAAGTTGCCTTGAGAACATTACCAGCAACCAGTATTCTCAGCGGTGAAAGAAAGAAGACTGTGCTGTTTTCTGCACGTGATCCTTACTGGATTGAGCCTTGGTTACTTGCCACCCAGAGGGGTGATTGAGTTGCAATATTCTGTTGCACCTTTGATGTCAACTTATTTTTGGCTTAAAATTTTTTAAATAACATAAGGTTAAGGAAGGATCATGATAGCTCTATCTTTTCCTCACTGACCTCCCTAGTTCTAGACAAATTCTATACTTTTTTCCTTTCTTTTTCTCTGTGGTCGATGATGTCATTATTCCCTCCCCCTCAAAACCTACCTTCTCCCTTGGTCTCCGGGAATACTGCACTCTAGTGATTTTCCTCCTACTACAGGAATGATTTCATTACCTCTCTGGCTGTTATTTCTTTGTCTTTAGGTCCTTTATGAAAACACAATCTGTTGCCCTATTTTCTCTCCACTTGCCCCTTTAGGATGTCCTATACTCTTCTATAATTATTCTGGTGCGTCTCAGATGTCTTGTTCTGAATTTTCTGTTAAGCCTTGTCTCTTATTTCAGCTGCCTCTATGGTATTTTCATCATCCTTTTTGAGTTCCTGTTGCCCTTACTAAACAAACTCCCCTTTTCTTCCATGCTTCTTCCATTCTGGCCTTCTCCATGTCTTTGAGACACTGCTATTATTTCCCCCTCAGGTTTAAAACCTGAAGCTCTGTTATTTTCTTTTTGCTCTGTCCTCTCTGTTTAGTTGTTGAGCAGATCCTTGGTATTTTCTTTGGGGTCTTTCCCTTCCTTTTGGTATTTTTGATACCACTTTATTCTGGGTTCTTGTTGCAGAGTCATATGGCACCTTTATGACATTGTCTAGTGAAAGCTATTGGTCAGGATGACAAAGCAGATTTTATAATTGGGGAGCCATTCTGCCACTGGATCCATGTCCCAGAACCCTACTAAATGACTGAATCACTAGATTACAGGGCTTGACTTTGCTCCTAACAATATACCTCTTTTGGGATGCTTTAGAAAAGCTTGGTGTTTTCTTTTGCATGTACAAGGTCTCCTTTGCTGCTAATGTCTTCTTTTTCAACTACAGCTTTTCTTCTGTGGTGAACGTATGAGGGTGCTTTCCCTGCACCCCTCTGCACCACCCCATAGAGTCCAGGTTTTTATGATTTTGTGCTGCCTTGAGATTACTTACAGGTTGCTGCCTTTGTGCTCTCTGAACAGTTCCTTATTTCCCCTCCTTACAGTCCTGCCTTACTAATCTTCCAACTGAAAAACACAGAGCACCTGACATTGCAGATTTTCATGTACTGAATTCCTGTATTAGTCACCAAATATATGTGTCTGTTTTTATCTCTCTTGTATTTTTCTCTCTGATTTTACTCTGGAGTTAGGAATCTTTTTTTTTTTCCTGTAAATTCTCTCCCAATGACCTGCATTCTTTGATAGAATTTGTAAGAGATGTTACTTTGTAGGCTTAGTTGCATAGTTTAAGAAACGTAGGAAGGTTTTGTTAAATAAAAGAAAGATGGTGAAATACAAGTTACACTGTCCGTTACTGGCTGTTTCCAAAAGGGGAGGACTGGCCAGAGCCTGGGTTTCTTAGAGTTTAAACTGTATTCTTGGAAACATGTTATTCACACTTGATTTTCTTTCCATTTGTTTTGGTGGTGAAATATCTGCTTCAGAGTGAAAAGTTGATGAATTATTTCAGAGAATAGAGTATTTTAAGGTGTTTCAGTTATTTTTTCCATCAGAAATTTAAGGAATAGTTAGTAAATATATTTCCAAATAAAACATATTTCATATTACATGAAGAATAACTTAGTAAATGTATTTAAAATAAGGTGTTTATGTTTCTTTGAAATAAAATGAAAACAGCATTCTCAGGCCAGCAGAAAAACTAACGCTATTACTTGATTTGGAATCAAGTGGCCACGTGATTTTTCTGAATCATGATATGACACTGTGTTTATTTACTCTTTCTTTTTATCTTTGGGCATTCCAGAGGGGTATTTGATGCTTCCCTCAAAATGGCTGGCTTCTATGGATTGTACACCTGGCTGACTCATACTATATTTGGCATCAATATTGTCTTCATACCATCAGGTAACAACCATATTACACCTTCCACTGTTCTCTGTTTAAGGAAAGTTAAGCCATTTTACATACGTCTAGGAAATGTCTACTTCCTCAAGTTTAAAAAACTAAATTTTTTGGCTTGAGATCGAATCTAGTCCACATTAGGAACAGAAATATGATTTATAATGTGTTTGTTGCTGTATCCGCAGCAGCTAGAACCATACCCAGCACATAGTAAAAATTGCTATTAGTCTGTTCTGTCACTGCTATGAAGAAATATCTGAGATTAGGTAATTTATAAAGAAGAGGTTTAATTGGCTCACGGTTCTGCAGGCTGTACAGGAAGCATAGTGGCTCCTGCTTTGGGGGAGGCCTCAGGAAACATAATCGTGGTGGAAGGTGAGGGGGAAGCAGGCATGTCTTACTTGACTGGAGCAGGAGGAAGAGAGGGGAAAGGTGCTACGCAGTTTTAAACAACCAGACTCATGATAACTCACTCACTCACTCACTATCATGAGAACAGCACCTAGGGGTGAAATCTGCCCCCCATGATCCAGTCACCTCCTACCAGGTTTTACCTCCAACATTGGGGATTACAATTTGACATGGAATTTTGATGGGGACACAGATCCAAACCCGTATCAGTTGCCCTAAATGTTTGTTAAATGAATGAATGTTCTAGCACTTGGCATAACACGTAGGACATAATTGACTCTCAGTAATGTTTGAATTGAACTGATTGGCAGGGAGCAATGTGTTGTCAAATAGCTTTGTCCATGAGGGATTACATCCCAGGGCAAGATGAATGCTTCTGAGGGCACATAAGCTGCCTCCATACCTCTTAAGATCTGTTGTGGTGGTTCTTCTACTTCTCCTTCCTTTATTTCTATGGCTGCTTGTTTTCCTAAATATCTCTGCCTTCCACATTTGCCTCTACCACTATCTCCCTCTTCCCCCATTTGTCTGTGCTTCCTTCTACATTTTCAAGTTCATTCACGTTCTTCCCTACTGTGATGTTCACAAACCTGCCCTCTGGCCTGCAAGCACTTTGTGAGGTGGAGTGGTAGACTTTTCATATAGATGAGAGACCAGTTTTCCAAGGTCACATACCTGGCTTCTGGTAGGACCAGAACTAGAAGCTACATCTGCTTTACTCTTAACCTGGAGAGAAGCCAGATGGAGGAAGAGCGCTTGAACATAACTGCTCTGAACGGGAATGACCTTGAAGCAGGGTCCTTCATCTCAGGATTTTTTCTGTTTATTTTTATTAGAAAGAAGCAAAGTAAAGAATATGCTGAGGTTTAGAAAGTAATTTCTGATTGGGCTTTGGATTCAGTATATTTGACACATGTTCTGTAGGTATATTTATAGGACCGTATATTAACTATTGATTGAGAGTAACAACTCCAGAACCCTCAAATTCTATTGCTTAAGAAGAGATCCATAAATAAGACACAGACTTGGAAAGATTTTTAGTATCACGTTTTAAGATACTGAGCCTTTACTTAGCTAGAAAATTCAGTTAGATAGGGCATATCATTTCCCTAATATTTGAGTTTGTGAGTATTTAACTTGTTTTGTTGGAAATTGTTGAGGAGGAGGAGCTACGGCTTCGATTCTTTTGCTTTGTTAGTGTTTTGCTGATGATGTTAAGTTGCTTTTCTTTTACTCTTTTTTCAGCGTTAGCAGCAATCCTTGGAGCAGTGCCATTCTTGGGGACATACTGGGCAGCAGTACCTGCAGTTCTCGACCTGTGGCTGACACAAGGGTTAGGATGCAAGGCCATTTTACTGTTGATTTTTCATCTCTTGCCAACATACTTTGTAGATACTGCAATCTACTCTGACATATCAGGGTAAGTAAGCCACAGAATTTCTTAAGTTATTAGTGAATCCTCCAGGCATTTCTGTTGTTTTTTTTTAAAGGAGGATTTTTTCCTCTCGGGTATACAAAAGAACTGGTAGTAGGAGTTTTCAGTGAAATAGCCTTTTGTGTTCCCACTGATATAATGAAATTTTCATTTAAAATAATATTGTTTACAAGGCATGATACTTTGGGGTGGTTTTTTTTTTTGGTGGTTGTTGCCTGAAAGTTCCAGAGCAACTTTTTTTTTTTTTTGAGACAGTATCTCACCCAGACAGCTGGAGTGCAGGGTGCAGTCATGGCTCGTTGCAGCCTTGAACCTTGAACTCCTGGGCTCAAGCAATCCTCCTGCCTTGAACTCCCCAAGGCACTAGGATTATGGGAATGAACCACCATGCCCTGCCAATATTTTATTATTACATATGTATTATTTATCATATTAATATATGATGTCCTGGGTTAAAACCAAATTGTGAATAATTTTGTCTTGATTTAGTGACATTTAACCTAGAAAAGAATTATGACCTGATGTACATCAAATATTTTAAGTACAGTGAACTGCTAATGATTATATTTATCTCTTCTTTGGTTTTGGAGAGAATGATGTTAGATTATATATATGTCTGAGGATTTCCATGTGAAACCAAATCTCAGCAAGTTAATTTCTGGCAAGCAGAGCTCTCTAAAGGTATAATTGGAATCGTTCTGTGATAAATACAGATTAACTCTAAGTCAGAATCAACACTTTAGCCATGTAATACAATAAATAAATGTCTGTTTTCATAGGTTTTGGTATCTCTTTTAGAAATTGCACTAAATAAATCAAGCCAGTTCTCAGTCATATTAAAACTTGAGAGAGAAAATTAAAAGGCTCAACGTCATAGTGTGGTTAACTAGTGTGTCACAGTTGACATTTGAGTAGGACTAAGTATGATTTATACTTAAGTGCTTTTATTTCTTTAAACTTTGCTGTAAATTTTATATTAAGGTTTACAGCTGGAATTAAAGAAATACTGTCTTTTTTTTTTTTTTTTTTTTTAGGCAAAGCCTCCCTCTATCACCCAGGCTGGAGTGCAGTGGCGCAGTCTCACCTCACTGCATCCTCTGCCTCCCAGGTTCAAGCCATTCTCCTGCCTCAGCCTCCTGAGTAGCTGGGATTACAGGCGTGCACCACCACACCCAGCTAATTTTTGTATTTTTAGTAGAGATGGGGTTTCACCATGTTGGTCAGGCTGATCTTGAACTCCTGACCTCAGGTGATCTGCCTGCCTCGGCCTCCCAAAGTGCTGGGATTACAGGCGTGAGCCACCATGCCCGGCCTAAAATACTGTCTTTAAACGTTGTCATTGGGAAATGAAAGGTTTGGCATAAATTGTTTTAGTTTTTAGTAGGTTAAGCTTTTATTAATAAACTCCCACACTTTTTTTTTTTTTTTAAAGCTTTAAGGCCGGGCATAGTGGCTCAAGCCTGTAATCCTATCACTTTGAGAGGCCGAGGTGGATGGATCACTTGAGCCCAGGAGCTCAAGACCAGCCTGGGTAACATGGTGAAACCCCTTCTGCACAAAAATAAAAAGATTAGTTTGGTGTGGTGCCACATGCCTGTAGTCCCAGCTATTCAGGAGGCTGAGGTGGGAAGGTCATTTGAGCCTGGGAGGTCGAGACTGCATTAAGCCGTGATTGCAGCACTGCACTCCAGCCTGGGTGACGGAACGGGGAAAAAAGCTTTAAGCATTTTTGATAGTTTTCCTTGAATGTGTTGTTTAGGGAAGAAGTTTACTTAGCAAACATGGAATACTGCCCTAAATCATTTTTTTGGAATGAGAAAGACAAACACATTATGAATATAATATATTGGTTTCCTGAAGACTGGTTCTCCACAAGTCTTACTTTGATTTAACTGTAACATAGAACATCCTTCCAGGATATTTAGTTATTTGCCCTTCACTGAATTGTTCTTCTCATCTATGTTTAAAACTAGAAACAAACAGAATGTGACTTATTTCCTAGTCCTTCTGATGTCAGTGGTCCTTTCTTGTCATTGTCAATGTGCTGTGCTACTGTGTTCTATTTTATTTCATTCCACTTCTGTAAGTGATACTGTAATAAGCTGGAGGGCATTTGTGATTCTCCTGTGAAATAGAAATCTTGGGCTTTGTGACAGATATTTTCCTCATGAGGCCTTTTATCATTACCTGTGTTAAAAACTGTATTTTAGGAGGTTGCCAAAAGTCTGACCTATGAGTAACAGGGATGCTATCGTTGTTGTTGTTGTCATATAAAAGCATAATTAACTGAATTATATGCTCACTTAATTATCCCTGATGGAGGAAAACTTAACAGGTGACTCCTAACCAGTCCTAAGCCAACATTAACCCATCATAGGCAGGCACCTGAAATGGGTATAAAATATCTATTAACATTGCTGACTTTATTATTTCATTCCTGGAGCTATAAAAAGAGGCAGATGTCACCCATAGGGAAAAAAAATCTTGCATCTCAATGTTATTGCAGTCAGTGTTCATTGTATGCATCGAGGTAATCTAAAGAAAGATCTAAAGAAAGCTGATAATATGCCAAAAAGCATAGTGTATTAAAGAATGAACATTGTATTAGAAATGTATTTCAGATTTACTCCAGTTTTTATGTGTTAAAGATCATGCTCTTTATTCCAGAGGTGGCCATCCTTACCTGACAGGCTTGGCAGTGGCCGGTGGAGCATACTACCTAGGCCTGGAAGGAGCAATCATCGGGCCTATTCTTCTCTGCATACTTGTGGTTGCTTCCAATATCTATAGTGCCATGCTAGTGAGTCCCACGAATTCAGTGCCCACGCCAAACCAGACCCCATGGCCTGCTCAGACTCAGCGGTGAGTTAAAGCAGAATAATCGTAAGCTGTGTTTATACATTGAGCTGTCCTGTCTCTGTATTTGATAAGTAGCTTCATCCAGACTTGTCAGGATAAAGGTATTTGAGTACCAATGCTGTGATAAAGGTTGCAGAAGACACTAAGTGAATACAAATCGTTGGCAGAGTTCTGGGTTTCATATACCAAGAAAATTTAAAACCTATATTGGGGCAGGGAGCAGTGGCTCACACCTGTAATCCTAGCACTTTGGGAGGCCAAGGCGGGTGGATCACCTGAGGTCAGGAGTTCGAGACCAGCCTGGCCAACATGGCGAAACCCCATCTCTACTAAAAATACAAAAATTAGCCAGGTGTGTTGGCGCATGCCTGTGATCCCAGCTGCTTGGGAGGCTGAGGCAGAAGAATTGCTTGATCCTAGGAGGCGGAGGCTGCAGTGAGCTCAGATTGTGCCACTAGACTCCAGCCTGGGCAACAGAATGAGAGTCTGTAGACTCAATTAAAAAAAAAAAAAAACCTATATTGTTTGAGAATTGTTAATGTCATGAAAAGCCAAAAATAAAGTTAAAAAATTTAATACCATGTGGAACATGGTATACCAGATTGAAAGAGACTCAAGAAATAGGACAACCAGGCCAGATGCAGTGGCTCACACCGCTAATCCCAGCATTTTGGGAGGCCGAGGTGGGCAAATAACCTGAGGTCAGGAGTTTGAGAGCAGCCTGGCCAACATGGTAAAACCCCATCTCTACTAAAAATACCCAAAAAATTAGCCAGATGTGGTGGCAGGCACCCGTAATCCCAGCTACTCGGGAGGCTGAGGCAGGAGAATCGCTTGAACCTGGGAGGCGGAGGTTGCAGTGAGCCGAGATCATGCCATTGGATTCCAGCCTGGGCGACAGAGTGAGGCTCTGTCTCAAAGGAAAAGAAAAAAAAAGGAAAAGAAATAGGACAACCAAATGCATGGCATGAGTCTGGGATAGATTTCTGGATTGGGGATGGGAGGAATCTATAAAGAATATTTCTGAAACAATTGGGGAAATTTGAACGTGGACCATATGTTAAATAATATATCAATGTTAAATTTGGTTTAACCAGTTTAATAATGATACTTCGATAACCAGTGATACAATGATAGCCAGTCATAACCAGTGACACTTTTGTTCTGTAGAAGAATGTCCTTTAAAGATGACCGGTCATGATGTCTGCCACTTATTTGCAAGCAGTTCAGCCAAAACGGAGAGAGGAAGTGGCTGTAGCAAAATGTTAACAACTGGTGAATCTAGATGAAGGACATATGGTTGTTAATTGTACCAGCATTTCAATTTTGTGTAGGTTTATACATTTTTAAAATACAAAGTTGGGAAAAAATTATTTGGGACACCAATATAGAGTTGCAACGTGTTATTTTGTAAGTACGAATATGAAAATAACAATTGCTGTTATCTGCTGTCACCAGCATTTCATAAAATAAATTATAATGTTTGAAAAATTTTCCCAATTGTCTTATAATTTTCTTAAATTTCTTTAGGTATAATTTATATATGATGAGGATGTACATCTAAGTAGCCAAATATACCTCTAAATAGACAGGTTGATTTTTCCATATACTCACACCCATGTAACCACTACCCATATCAAGATATAGAATATTTTTGTTATTCTAGAAGGCTTCTCCCTGCCTCCTCTCAGACCCCACTGCCTGCTGATATTCTAACTGTAGTCACTTTTCATTAGTTTTGCCTGTTTCTGAACTTCATGTAAAAGAAATGATATGGTAGGTACATACTCATATAGTCAGCCCTCTTTGCTCAACAGTGTGTCTCTGTGTGATTCATTCATGTTGTTGGATGTTTTACTCTGTTCATGGGTCATTCTTTCATTGTTGTGTAATCTTCCATTACATGAATATATTGCAGTCACATTTAATCATTGTAGGACTAATAGATATTTGGGTAGTTGGCAGTTTATGTCTGTTATAATTCAAGTTGCTATACTTTCTTTTTTAAAAAAAAATTCTTATTTTGCCATGAACGTTTTTGTACATGTCTTTTGGTGGACATGCGCATAGTACTTACTGTAGTTGGACATATACCTAAAAGTGGAATGTCTGGTTATACATCTGGTTTTAAGTTTAGGTGGATACTTAAAAACAGTTTTCTATGTCGTGTGCCAGAAATTACATTTTAACAACAAAAAAGTAAGAAGGACAGTCTCAGAATAAAAAGTAAAAGATTTTTAACTTTCCATAAACTATATGCATTTACCTTGTTATCTGCAATTGGAAAACACTAGTTTTCCTGCCACTGGATATTCTTGTATAATCAAGGAGTCATTGACAAGTTGTTTCTGACAATGCATTTAATGAAAATATTTTATGCTTTTATGTAAAATTCTTTAACAACATGATTCTGTTTAATTTTGTTTTCAGTGTTATATTTTGTGAAAAGAGACATGGTCCTTTAACTCGGGACAAATGCAGTACAGTCTCTGAGTTAGAGCCGGTTAGGGGGCCATTTTAGCCAATGCATGATCCTTACTTGATGGCAGGGGAAAATCAGTTTTTCCAAAAGAATAAAAGGAGAGATGCTTCGGTGATTTTGACAAGGGCCTTCCCAATTTGGTAGTGGTGACACTATGATATCCTTTTCTGCCTTTGCCTCTTAAAGACAAGTGCTCAGGTACCTGAGATGCCAGTGTGCTCAAAAGCAACAGAATGCACTTGCTAACTTGAGGCTGTGTTCCATGGGCTTGCCAAACACAAAGAAAAAAGAGAATTGATCAATATTTTGCTGTTATTTTGAGTAAAACTTAATGATTTCAAGTTACTAAAGCAAGAGTTAGTTTTTAAGGTGAAACAAAAGCAACTTAAATGAATTCTTTTAGAGGTAGTAAACCTTTTTAACCCTCTCTCTTTCTAAAAGTACAAAATGCTTATGTGGTATGGCGGAGTAGAAAAAGATAATGTGAGGACCCATGTATATAGCCTTTGTCTTTCAAAGTTACTCATGCATGTAGTTTAAAGAGTCAAATTTCTACAAAACTCAGTGAAAAATAAGGGCTTTGCCTTCTCCCTCTTCCTTTTTCTAAGAGGAACCACTTTTTGACCCTAATTATTTTGGTATTTACCTCCATATCTTGAAATGACATGCTTATTTCTGATTTGGTCATGTATAGGCATCATCTAATAACTTCCCACTTGGAAGGTTAGAAGTTAGCTTTCACTACCCATTCCCCCGGAACAAACTGTGATACTGGTTAGATCAGTATTCAGGTTTTACATTATTATGACTTTAAATTATATTCATATTTGAGCCTTGTCATATATTCTAATATTTCTTTACCCCTACGACTTTTGCTTTCTCTTGAGTTAGTAAAGATACTGGTTTTTATTTGCTTTGCTTTCCATGTACTTATAACTAATCCCATCTCAAGCTCCACACCAGGCACTCGCCTCTCCACTTGGTATGTTCAGTTGCACCAGGCATAGTTGGTCTTCTGAACAAGACTCTCCTGAGTGTCTTGGTCTGCCCCATTGGAGTGCTGTCCTTTTGGCTTGCTGTTCAGCTATCACCTTGGGTATTCCCTCAACTCTCCCTTGCGTTGGAATCCTTATTTCTTATATCCTATATAATTTTCTTTCTTGATTTATTCCTTTTTGGTGGAGCACATCGTCTTGTAGATTTTCAGGAAAATATGCATAGGAGGTAAATTTTGAGGGACGATGCATGTCTGAAAAAGCTTTTCCTAATGTCATACTTAATCCGATAGCTTTCCTATGTAGAGAATTCTATGCTTGACATTTTTTCTTTAATATTTCTTTATTCATTGTTTTCTAGCTTCTAGGATTGTTGTTAAAAGTCAAGCAATTTTTATTCTTGATTCTTGTTAATTTAACTGTTTGAAGACATATAAGATCTTTTTGTTTATCTGTGTTTTTTGTCCTGATGGGCACTTGCTAAGACCTTTAAAAGTGAAAACTTATGTTCTGGTGTTCTGACATTTTTCTTGAGTTGTTTCATTATTTCCTTTTCTTCTTTCAGAAATTTATTTTATTTTGACGTTGACCCTCATGGACTGGGCATTTCACATTTTAAATACTTTCTCTCTTTTTTCACTTGTGTCTTTTTGGCTCCATTTTCTGGGTGATTTCTTCAACTTTATCTTGTAGCTTTACTATAGCACTTTCCATTTCTACTTGCACATGTTTTTCAGTCTCCTTTATTGAGGTGTTATTTCCTTAGAATAAAATGTGCCTTTTTAGCCTAGAGGTTTATGTTTTGTATGACATGTAACAAATTACACGTTTAGCAGCTTACTATACATTTACGACACAGCTTCTGTGGGTCAGGAGTTCAAGCAAAACTTGGTTGGTTCCTCTGCTTAGGACCTGACAATCTGCAGTCACAGTTGGGGTTTCATCTGTGGATTGGAGTCCTCTTTCAAGCGGTCCTGTTGTTGGCATAATTCATTTCCTTGTAGTTGTGTAACTGAGACTCATGGCTCCTAGAGGCTGCCTCTCTTCATAGGCAGCTGATAATCTGGGTTTTTGCTTCTTTAAGGCCAGCAGGAGAGTATTTTTCTAACTTCAGTCTCTGACCACTGGACTTTTTAAAAGAAGAGCTCACCTGATTAGACCTAGCCCACCCAGCATAATTTCTCTTTTTTAAGTCAGCTAATGAGGGACATTTATGACATCTATAAAATCCATCCACCTTTGCCATACATGTTGAGCATCCCAAATCCCAAGTTGGAAACTCTACAGAATCAGAAACTTTTTGAATGCCAACATGATACTCAAAGGAAGTGTTTGTTGGAGCATTTTTGATTTTTTTTTTTTTTTTTTTGGGACAGGGAGAGTCTCACTCTGTCACCCAGGCTGGAGTGCAGTGGCACAATCTCGGCTCACTGCAACCTCTGCCTCCCAGATTCAAATGATTCTCCTGCCTCAGCTTCCTGAGTAGTGGGGACTTACAGGTGCATGCCACAACGCCTGGCTAATTTTTGTATTTTTAGTAGAAACAGGGTTTCGCCATGTTGGCCAGGCTGGTCTCCAACTCCTGACCTCAGGTGATCTGCCCTCCTCAACCTCCCAAAGTGCTGGGATTACAGGCATGAGCCACTGCACTCGGCCAGCATTTTGGATTTTGGATTCTTGGATTTGGGGTTAGTATAATGTAAATATTCCCAAATGCAAAAAAGATGTGAATCACTTCTGTTCCCAAGCATTTCAGATAAGGGACACTAACCTGTATTAACAGAACCACAATATCAGGTATTGAAGATGTTTGGCTGTTGGCTCATGTTAAGAGTGAGATATGGCCAGGTGCGGTAGCTCACGCCTGTAATCCCAGCACTTCGGGAGGCCGCAGTGGGTGGGTCACCTGAGGTCAGGAGTTCAAGACCAGCCTGGCCAACATGGTGAAACCCCGTCTCTACTAAAAATACAAAATTAGTCAGGCATGGTGGCATGCACCTGTAGTCCCCACTACTTGGGAAGCTGAGGCAGGAGAATCATTTGAATCTGGGAAGCAGAGGTTGCAGTGAGCCGAGATTGTGCCACTGTACTCCAGCCTGGGTGACAGAGCGAGACTCTGTCCCAAAAAGAAAAGAGACTCAGAAGCTGTGGTGGATTATGATATGTGTTACCATAATATAATGTGGCAGGGCCACTGCTTTGTCCAGCCCTTAATGTCAGTGATTTTGGTCCCCTTTTTGGGCTCGTGTAGTCCTCAAAGAAAGAGCTTCTAATCTGGCTAGAGACTAAAAGCCTGGCTGCCAGCGTCCCGGGAGCCAGGAGGAGAAAAGGGTCTGGACAGCCTTCAAGATGTAAACATCCACTTAATCTCCCAGTGTTGGGATGGATGCCCACCCTCATTTCTGCCTGTTGTGCCCTAGTTCAGAGACTTTTTTTTTTTTTTTTTACCTCCAGAGGGGAAAAACCTCTAGTTTTCTGCCAAGGAGGGGAGAGGGTGGAGTCAGCTGCTTGGCTGGGTGGGAGGTGGGGTGAGGCTATCAGAGGGTGTTGTCTTACTGCTCTTTAAGGAAACTGTAGAGCAGTCCTGTGTTTTCCCCCACCTCCGACTCTACTTCCAGAGTTACTTGATGTCACCAGTTCCTAAGCCTGAGGGATTTCTCCGAATAAATCAAAATGTTTCCCGGCCTTTCTCACTACTGGTTTAAGATTCAGCTTTTTAGGGTCTCTTGTTAGTCTGTTTTTCATTGCTATAAAGGAATTCCTGAGGCTAGAAAATTTATATAAAGAAAATAAGTTTATTTTGGCTCATGGCTCTTCAGACTGTACAAGAAGTATACTGCCAGCACCTGCTTCTGGTGAGGCCCCAGGAAACTTCCAGTCATGGTGGAAGGCAAAGGGGAAGCAGGTGTGTCACACGGAGAGAGAGGAAGCAAGAGAGATGACAGGCTGTTCTAAACAAACTGCTTTTACCTGAAGGAATAGAGCAAAAACTCATTTATCATTATTGGGGGGAGGGCACCAAGCCATTAATGAGGGATCTGCTCCCATGGCGCAGACACCTCCCACTAGGCCTCACCTTCAACATTAGGGATCACATTTTAACATGAGATTTGCATGGGACAGACAGCCAAACTCTATCACATATGCCATATCATAGCAGTCCCACCCGCTTTCCACCTTCTTAGAATTTGTTGCTTTTGCGTCTTAGTTCTTTTTTTTTTTTCTTTCATGGCCTTTGCTGTCCATGGTGCAGCCACACTGGCTTTCCATCAAGCCTCAGATACACTAGGTGCCATTGAAACTCTGGGCCTTTGTGCTTGCTGGTTTCTCTATGTGGATAATCCTCCATCTGGATAATCCCCCCATCTTTCCTTCTTAAGGAACTCCTAACTATTCAGATCTCAGTTCGAATGTCAGTTCATCAGAGAAGCGTTTCCTACCCCCAAGATTAGGTTATGGCCTCCTTGCCAGTTTAATGTGTTTATAGTTTGTACCTTGTACTTATTTTTTTTGGAGTACAGTTTTCATTTATATACTTGATTATTTTTCTCTCTCCCCCATCCCAACTTGACTATAGTTGCTGTTACTGCCAGGGCCAAGTCTGTTTTAATTACTGATGTCAACCTCTGTCAACAGTATTTTGTACTCAGAATGCTCAATTCCTAGTGGAAGAAATGAATGGGCTGTGAGGGAATAGTAGCTACAGAAGCATGAGCTCTGAAAGGGCTTGGCTTTTTCTAGGAATTTGTATATTGTTACAGTGTGACAATACAGGATAGACGGTTGCATTTTATTAAACAGACATACCTCTTAATTCCATACCGCAAAAAAACTTGTTGGACTACTATCTTCACACAGATGAATGCCCATTCTCCTAAGGAAAGATTGTAGGAAGGAAGACCTTCTCTGCTGCTCACTGTTGATAGTGAGAATGTAGTGGATACAGCACAGCTTTGGGCTGCCAACTATTTTGACCTCTACTGAATAATCAGAACCTTTCACTTCCTTTGTTCTCTATTAATAGTGGGCTTGTTTAGGGAGATGGGATGGTAGGGAAAGGCAAAAACATCCCTGTAATCATGCATACTTTCTTGATTTTTGGACAGGATAATCAGACTTGCTTTGATAGACTTCTTTGACTTCTACTAAAAATTGAGCAGCAGTCTGTGAATATTAAAGCCCAGAAAATCCTGTAAGGAGTATATCCCAGGAAGTCTTCGGGGGATGCTATTCTCCATATTATAGTTTTCCTTTGCCCTCTGTTACACCTTGACAGTGTTGAAGGTGACAACTGGAATGTGGTCCTTTAGGAACTCAGCTTTATGTTTCTCTAGGGAAGATTTAGTAACTTGTGGCTGTTTTTGTACTCGCTTTCTTAATCTGAGGTTTATATCTTTCATAACTAAATACCCAAAGTATAATCAAAAATGAGTATCTGCTGGGCATAATGGCTTATGCCTGTAATCCCAGCACTTTGGTAGCCCAAGGCAGGCGATCGTTTGAGTCCAGGAGTTCAAGACCAGCCTGAGCAACATGGTGAAACCCCATCTCTGGGTCTCTGTAAAGTGAGGCATAAAGATACGCGCCATAAACCATCCCCACTTCTGCAGATCTTTACGCTAACCCTAAGAATTTCAGTTGGGGTGCACTTGCTGTCATTCCACTTTAGAAGATTGAGAAAAGAGAGTAAACTGGGGCTAGAAAGGGAATACATTTGATTTACTTTCTGTTACTTGAAAATTTCCTGAATCTGTTCATCCTCTTTACTCCCAGCGGTGTGACCCACTGCCAGGATTGCTTCAGCAGCCTCTTTACTGGTGCCTGCCTCGAGTTTGGCCCCCCTCTAGTCTGTTCTTCATAGCACCCTCTCTCTGATGTTTCTGAAACATAAATATTCTACTCTGCTGCTGCTTAAAATTCCCACAGTGGCTTCCCGTGGCCTTCAAGATAAAGCTGACATATTAATTTGTCCTGTCAGACTTCTCTTCTCATGCCTTTTTTCTGTCTACTTCTCCAGATTCATCTCTGTGCTGTATGCCTTGCATTTCATTTTTCAACCTTATTAAACTTGTTTTAGTTACCAGAAGGCAGTGTCATCTTTGCAGTGTTGTCCCCTCTGTAAAGAATACCACTTCCCTCCCAGCCAAGTCCAATATCATGGTCATACAAAGTACCCTTTTTGTGAGAAATATTACTGAAACTGAACTAGGTAAGAAGTCCTTGTTGTGTCCCTGTGGTATCTTATATTTCTGTTGAAACTTAATACATGTTTTATAGATGTGTGTTTAATTCATTGTTTTTTCCCGTCAATTGGTAAACTTTTTGAAGGTGGGAGCTATATCTAACTTGACCACTGTTTTGCTATTCGTAACGTGGTGTTTGGTGCATAGAAAGTGCTAGGTGAAGATTTAGTGAAGTTGTGAATTAGTGAAACCAAAAGCAGATTAGATGAAAAGGATTTTTCAATACAACCTTGAGGCTAATAAAAGAGGATGGGACATAGTAAACCCTAGCCTTAGAACTTTATTCCAAATTTGTTGGAAGGGAGGGGATATGTATAATAGTGGTTGCATGTGGTCTGTCACAGGATTGTATGCTGGTACTGGTGTAGGAAATATAACAGTCAGTGCTGGGGAGCCAGCTAAGTAAGTTAAATTAGTCAGTTATAACTTTCAGGCATCCATAACTTATTCTGCACGTCTAGGAAGCTGGAAGTCAACAAGTCTTCCGTTGTTAAATCATAAAAGATTTAAACATTTACATGGAGGGAAGAGGGTAGGGGGTGAAATGAATTTGTAAAGATCTCATTGAAACTTTGAGGCAAGCAGATCCCAAAATATTTTCAAAGAGCAAGGAATAGTGAGAGACTACACTGCACAATCCCTGTTGCTCTGAAAGGAGGTGTAAAATGTTAACAGCCCTGTAGTCCCCCAGTCACCTGTGGTCCCGTTCTGCATTGCTTATTCTTAGATGAGAAATTCTATAACCATGATTCCTTGCAGCATAATAATCCTTAGAATTTGGGAAAGAATACTGTATTTAAATGGTTTAGGTAGGATGTTAAAACATTTTCAGAAAATAGTATCAATGCAGTGTTTATTTTTAACGCAGAGAGTTATAGTTTTGTGAACTTTGCTTATTAGTTAGAGCTGTGCCTCTGTAATAAGCCAAAAACCAAATAATTTCTGCATCTCTAGACTATAGATACTGTTTTCCTGGAGATAGAGATTTGTTCAAGATCAGTGTTACTTCAGTAGGGTTCTATACACACACACACCTCCCACTCCATCACCCTAATACCCTACATACCTAGAGAGAACATTGAGATGAAAGACTCTTAGTAACTGATTTCTAAGCTTGCTTCAAGTTGTTGG